AATTCTTGTGCCCCTAAATGCCATCCTGGGAGACTAGTTCAGGAATATCTACTTCACCAATGCCCTTTCCAACAGCAAGCTGGAGTTTCTCTGAAGGATACCCTTCACCAATCCATTTACTGATTGGCATGGTCCTGATTAGCATTTGACGTCTGACAAGACTGTCAAGAAGGTGGTGAGGCTTTGGAACACATGATTCCTATGTTACCTTAAAAACATATCAATTGTGCACAAAATATGGCTTTCTGTAGGTAACACTGAAACTACAAAAGGATAAAATAGTTTCTGCATGATTTTGTTGTTTCTCATCTTGTGCACCCTCTGACTTTCCCCACTTCCAGCAAGACAGTTACGCTTCATAGCTTCTTCATAGCTATATTATCCATACCATGGAGCATCAGTTCTCAACACTTTTCTTTCAGTGGTCCCTCCAAAATGCTATAAAGATTCCAGGGCCTGAGAGGAGAAGGGGGTTTGGGCTTCTGCCCTGCAGACGGGGTAGCCTTGGGGCTTCTGACTTGGGCCCAGGCCAGTCTGACACTGACCCTGCTTCGCCAAAAAACAGCTCGCAAATCCCCAGGGGGCTGTGGAGCCCAGGTAGAGAACTGGAACTTACCAGATGCTGATGCAGTTCCATTTCTGAGACCCCCTTCTCCCTTATCATATTATTACCAGAGGTAGGAGAAACAGTCAAAGGAAACCTTGTAAATATCTGCAAAGATTGAGAGTCCCTGATATCAAGAAAAGGAAGGAATAGGGGTAAAAAGGAAAAAGGTAAGCAGAAAAGAGAAGAGGGAGGGCTAAGGAATGAATGGAAAGAGGAAGTGTGGCCCTACATTAAATATAAACAAACATGTCTATGTAGTTCAGAGACTTTTGAACTGTGGGGTGCATCCCTCTAAAAGGGCATAGGGAAATATTATGTGAGGCTTGGGAAGGAAGAGCCGAATCCACCCAACTTATGTTTGTGGGCCACCCTGGCAGTGGGTCTGTTTTATCCGGAGATCAGGAGGATAATGCAACCCAAAATTGGAACTCAAAGGGAGGGCTCAGCTCAAAGTTTGAAAACCCTGATCTAACCTACTTTTCTGCTGTAATTGCCTGCTTATCTGCTACTTATTCATGCTGTTCTGCAGGATATGTGCCCTGTTCTCTTACAGGCACATGCACAGAGAGCTGTCAACTATTTATAGAATCAGCATGAGCTGTAGTGAAAACCAATCAGACTTTTTAAATCCTCCAGGAGGTTTGTTTCTGTAACAGCGCCCTTTAGAGAAAGGAAATCGCTGAATAGTGGCACTGAAATATAGAGCCTGGTTTTGTCTTCATTCAGAATGCATGTGAGGCTCTGAATAGGTACCACTGAAATAAACTGACACCCCCGAATCTTTTTTAAAGGTTGGAGGAAGGTGTATAACAGAAATGACAACCATAGTAGATATCTTTATCTATAAAGAGAGAATCTAGCTGTCTGAAATACTGAATTAGGTTATCATGAAAAGTCTGTATTTTTTTCCCTAATTTATCTGTAATTCATTCTGTTTGAAAAAATTGGTCCAGTTTTTGCATAGTAGAAAACATCACAAAGCTATAAAAACTGGGGTAAATTGATTTCTCTGAGACTGGTAAGGAAGGATACAGCTATCAGAAGCTCAGACATGCTGCATTTTTTAGTGGAGACCATAAATTCAGTAGCACAACATGGAAACATTATTAACATGGAATCATGGAATTGCACTTGATTCAGAGACACAAGCCAAGTTCAGTTTAGCATTCCTTCTCCTAAAGACAACATAGGAAAAAACAGATCAAAATCAAGATAATTTTATAGCAGCGATCAAGCTTCTTTTGGGAAAATATTGTAATAGATTAGAGTTCAATATATCTCTGAAACAAAAATATGAATTATCATTAGTCTTTTTGTAGAGTTTTTACATGTCCTTGAGTTTCACAATTTAAAAATATATTACAAAAAAAGACCCAAATAATAAGAAAATTGAATAGAATTTGTCTTATACAAGAGGTAGTAAATACTGTTAAATAGACAACTCAGACTCTGAAAACTAAGATGTCAAAAATATAGCTTTTTTTGTGTGTGAGAGAATTTATTTTTTAAAATAATTAACAAATGGAAAAACTTGGCTCTGGAGATCAGTAATGAGCTCTACACTCTCTTCTCTAGAAGTCCTCTTCCAAGTCCAAGGCAGATTGGTCGTGATGTAGAGCTATTATCATCTGTAACAGATGGGATACCGTCTGCTGGAAAATTATATTTGTTATAGATTAATCTTAATGAAAATGTAGAATCACCTTACACATGGGAATTTGAAAGCTGAATTAATCCACGGAAGACAGAGATGCCTGTAGGAATGTTACCCTTATTTGAAAGATTCATGAATCAGTTGGGACACGCAAGGTAACTTACAATAATGGTCCAGCCCAGCAGGGGAGAAAACTATTGTCTGTGAGGAAAGGCAGGTATTTCTGTATTTTAAGGCTTTATGTGAAGTAATAAGTGAAGCACAGAGATGCATATAACACTGAATAAAGTCAGAATCTATAATGAGGCTTTGGGGGACATAATACAGTGATGCCCAAAATAGTGCACCTGTGCAAACATTAAGGTGATATCTGTGTGAATATGGTCTAGTACTCCCTAGCTTACATGCCAATGCAAGCCCACCTTGATCATGTCTAGGAGCTCAAAGCTAATAACTGCTTTCTACAAGGCTCTCAGTTTAGGAGGAAATGCTGTTTCAGTGTGACCCACTCAGCTGCTAGTATGCTGACATGAAGGTGGTGGGGAGAATCTCATGATTTTGAAAGTTGACAGTCTTCAGAGGAAATGCAATTCATTGTTCTACAATTGTGAAATTATGCCTTGGCTGACTGAACTACCACACAGGGTTAGGACTGAGGCCAGATCCATGCTACAAAGTTAGTTTGACATAAGCTGCGATGTGTCAACCTAGTTGTAGCACATGTCTAAGCTGAAACTTGTCTGCCACTGATGTAAGTCCCCATTACAGTGACACAGTAATGCCACCTCTTCAAGCAGCACTGATACATGGTTAATTCTACTGAGGTTGATGATAATGATGATAAGGATGTTAAATATCAAGTAATTTACTAGTCAAGTAGTCGATGGAATTTCCATCAACTTGTCGATAGGCACTTCTGCATTCTTCCTTTGAAAGGAGGAATTCAGAACTCTGTGTGCAGCTCGGGGCCAGCAGGAAGTCCCATTAACTCCAGGCTCCACGTGGGCGTGCCAGCTTTGAAATGTACAGGAGTCCCCTGCTAACCCCGGGCTCTTCACAGTTTGAAATGCTGCGTGGTGCTGATACTTTTCAAAATATCTATCTTATAATTGTATACTGTTACCATTTTCAAAAATAACTTCTCTAGAGATAGGGGCGGATATAGGGCAGGGAGAACGGGGCGGCCGCCCCGGGCCCCGCGCTTAAAAAAGCCCCGCACATGCGCTGTGGCAAAAGGGGGGCCCCGCGGAGTTATGCTGCCCGAGCCCCGCAAAACGGTCATCTGCCCCTGTCTAGAGATGATTGCTGTTCCCATGAAGACCTTTTCAAGGACCTGTGGTATTGGTACAAAAATACAATAGTACTGCAGTGGTTGGAGAGAGAAATGTATGTGGACATGTTAAATGGATTTATATAAACTAGGTCAGTAAACATGTATCTGAGTCACTGCTGCAAGTTGCTATAATTACTTGTAAAAGTACAATTCTGTAACATAATCAGGATGTAGACATGATAGCTTTTGTGCAATTCCTAAAGGACTCATGAGTCTGCCACCACAACTGATACCTTTATTGGAAGTTTCCTCACAGATGTGAGATTTGAATAGACATAGAAACTAAGGCTGTGTCTACTCTTGCAGTTGCTCGATACAACTTTTGTCCTTCATGGGTGCATAAACGCACTCCCCAGCCAAAATGAACAAGATTTTGCTGCAGCAAGTGGACATGTTAATGCTGCTTTGTCAGTAGGATCGCTTTTCTGCTGACAAAGTGAAATCTGCTTGTTGTGGGTGGAAGTATTTTGTCAGCAAAAGTGCCAATATAAAGCATTTACACATGCCAACTTTTAGTGACAGGGTTGTGTCAACACAGCCTTGTCACTAAAAGCTGCGTAGTATAGACATATCCTAAGCTACTCTCTCACTCTTAAAAGTGGTTCTCAAGCTTAGTAATGAAATGCATTGGCAAGTCCATATCGGAAGCCTGAGCTATTGCTATCTGAGCTGACCCTATTGTTGAGTGAAACCTTGTTCCAGAGAGTGAGCAATTGGGTACTTAATTTAATTGTAAAACAGGTAGGGTGCCATACCCGAAACAGGCCTATTAGGCTATGTGTGTAACAAGTCAAAGAAAACCTGGAACACTGACTCTTGGGCCTTGGTCAACTGAGGTGGGCTCATGAGCTGCAGGACTTAAATAGTAATGTAGATGTTCCCACTCCGGTTGGCGCCTGGACTATGAAATCAACAGAAGGTGTCGGAGCCCAAGCACCAGTTGGAGTGGGAACATCTACATGATTGTGAAGCTAAAAACAACAAAGCAGAGGTGAATTGGTGCTACAGACTTTTCTTTGCAGTATAGACATACCCTTAGCGACTTCCCAGAAACTAGTCCATAGCTACTAAGGGTGTGTGTGTGTGTGTGTGTGTGTGTGTGTGTGTGTGTGTGTGTGTGTGTGTGTGTGTGTGTGTGTGTGTGTGTGTGTGTGTGTGGGCTATATCTATACTACAGAGTTTTCAGAAAAATGGCTGTTTTTCTAAAATAACGTCTCTTACGTCCACACTGCAATCGTATTCTTTGGGGGGAAAAAAATCAAAAGAACAGAGGGGTTTTTCCAACATTGTTAAACCTCTTTCTATGAGGAAGAAACCTTTTTCCAAAAGAGCTTGTTCGGAAAAAGGCATCTGTGGACGGGGAAGAGGGAGTTCTTTTGAAAGAAGAGGAAAGAGGAAAAAGCACAGGTGGCCTGGTGGCTACTCCATCCATAATAATGACAGCTTAAATGCAAGACAGCGTCCATTCGGTGTAGATGCTATCTATCGAAAAAGAGATTGCTTTTTCAGTGCGCTTTGGCAGTGTGGATGCTCTCTTTTGGAAGAAGTTTTTTCAGAAGATCTCTTCTGGAAAAGCTTTCTTACGAAAGAAGCCTGCAGTCTAGACGTAGTCTTAGAGAAAACAGAATGAGAACAGACAAACAGAATGAGACAAGAAAGCCGAGCTGTAGCTTGTATACACAATAACCTGGGGAGAGTTGGATAGAGCGCTATGGGTCTGATATCGGCAACAGAGGCTTAAGGTTTGTGAGCTAAGAAGCTGCTGCTTTTGTTCTTGGCTCCCCCTGCATTCTGAGGAGCAGGATTTTATAAAGGATTTTGCATCCTTGTAAATAAGATTTTGTGAAAGAAAATACCATATGCCTTCAGTTTCTACTTCTATCTGGAGCATAATTACCTAGCAGAATTTCGAGTAGCTGCTTCTTTGGGTCAAAAAGGGGCAACGCTATTAAGTAGCTAGAGGACTTCAATCTTCAGGACTGTAAATCCAGCACTACTTCTCATAAGCACTGAGTTTCCTAAGAATTAAAATCACTGATTTGCTTTTCATATGTATCTTGTCTGTGGTGATTTGGATTCATTTGGATGTTGCATGAGTAAGTACTGCAGAAAATGACTTTTGGTTCCATTATTGATGTCTTACCTGTATTGTTTCTCTCACCAGTGCTATTAATAACAATCCTTGTAGTGGAAGGGATTGCTGTGGCACAGAAGACACAAGGTACAGTGCTGACAAGATTTTCTTTAAAAGAAATTTAAAAGTTTTGTAATTTTAAAAAAGTAAGCCAGATGGATATAGGAAAACAGACATTCTTTCTGGTTCATGTATTTTACTGACACTCGTAGTATTTACAGGCAGTCCCCGACTTACATGGATCCGACTTACGTCGGATCCCTAGATACAAACGGGGTGAGGCAACTCCCGCACATGCGCAGCAGCATTCCCGGGCTCGCTCACCTGGGTCCTAGGATCCTCCTCCTCCTCGGGCCGGCTCCGACTGGGGTCCCGCAGAGCTGCCGGGCAGAGGAAAAGTGCCTCCCCCTGCAAGCAACAGGCTGCCCCCTCCCCTGAGCAACAGGCTGCAGAAGAGACAAAAGCAGCCTCTCTGTCCCTCCTCCCCTCTATACATGCCGGGCTCCTGGAGCACAGCAGCGTCCCCGGGGCTCGCTCAACTGGATCCTAGGATCCACCTCCTCCTCTTCCTCGGGCCAGCTCCTCCAGCCCACCAGCTCCGACTGGCCTCCGCCTGCAGCAGCAGCTGGCCGCAGGGAAAGGGGTCCTGCAGAGCTGCCGGGCGGAGGAAAAGTGCCTCCCCACGCCCGCTGCCCGCCGCGGCCTCGCAGCCTGCACGCCCCCCCCCCACCAACCGGCTGTCCCCCCTCCCCCCGCCACAAGCTGGCGCAACAGCGGGGCAC